TGTGTACTGTGAGATTACAGAGCCCCCAGTAATGTGCAGTGTGTACTGGGAGATTACAGAGCCCCCAGTAATGTACAGTGTGTACTGGGAGATTACAGAGCCACCAGTAATGTGCAGTGTGTACTGTGAGATTACAGAGCCCCTAGCAATGTGCAGTGTGTACTGTGAGATTACAGAGCCCCCAGTAATGTGCAGTGTGTACTGTGAGATTACAGAGCCCCCTGTAATGTGCAGTGTGTACTGGGAGATTACAGGGTGCACACTAATGTGCAGTGTGTACTGTGAGATTACAGAGCCCCCTGTAATGTGCAGTGTGTACTGGGAGATTACAGGGTGCCCACTAATGTGCAGTGTGTACTGTGAGATTACAGAGCCCCCAGTAATGTGCAGTGTGTACTGGGAGATTATAGAGCCCCACTAATGTGCACTGTGTACGGGGAGATTACAGAGCCCCCAGTTATGTGCATGATGTACTGGTAGATTAATGAGATCTCTGTGCACTGTATTAAGCTGTAGTAGTTCTGGCGACTAAAACATTTAATAAATTTTTTTCAAATTATTTTTATTAAAGTTTTAAAATTTTGTAAAAAGTACATACGTACTGTACCACTGGTATACATCCTTATTTTTTTCATATGATGAACCACACTACCTTGGGAATCTGATACCAGCAAAAAGAAATCCTTAGACGGGGATTGTTCCGTCCAGGCTCCTAAAATAGAGCTTTTTAAGCTCTGGAAAACGTGAGTGCCCCTTTGGAATATATCTTTATCACCATATTATTCATAACATACTGCACTATTATTGTACTTTTTATTTCCCTTTTTTAAGAGTAAGACACATAATTGCGAAATCTGCTGCTACCTGTGTATGTATGATTTTATTATATGAATTCTTAGCTCTGTCCACCTAATTTACTAGCTTGTATTGCTCTATATAAGCTGGGAGAATGGTTATTTTTAAAAACAATGTCCCAGGCTTTAAGCGTAGTCTTGGTAGATAAAAATCATTTCATAATTCCAGGTCTTTTCTTAGGATTTAACCAAGGTAATTCTGATAATCTAACCGGTAAAATTTTCGATCTTCTATTTCCATCCATCTGGGTTTATCAACCTGGTTGTTAAAGCTCACAACCACTGCAGCGTTAGTGGCGAAATAATATTTGCGGATATCGGGGACACCGATACCGCCATTCGATTTATGGTGCTGCAAGGAAGTGAGCCATACTCGGGCAGGCTTGTTCCCCCAGATAAACTTCAGCATTGTCGAGTGAACTTTATTAAAAAATGATAATGGGATGGACAGAGGAATGGTCCTCAAAAAAATATAACATTTTTGGGAGTATCGTCATTTTAATAGATGTGACCCTCCGCAGCCATGAGAGCTCCATCTCGCCCCATCTCTCTCTCTCTCTTTTTGTAAGTCCGACCATGCTTCCCTCTAGTTGTGATTGTGCATATTGACCAAATTTTTGCATAAATTAATGCCAAGATATTACATATAGTCAGTTCTCCAATCAAATAAATATGATTTCTTAAGGGCAATGGTTTCCAAATTATTTAAATGAAACGGGAGGGCCTGAGTCTTGGACTCGTTTAATTTGTAGTACGATACCTCACCAAATTGAGTTAAAATGTCCTTGAGGTGTCTCAAAGATTCTTTGGGGTTTTTGACAGCTAGGATTATATAGTCTGCAAACAGGCCAATTTTGTGAACAGATTCTTTAATAGTGTAAAAGGATCCTCCTATTCATGCCATGCTGATCCTTGTAGCTTCTCCTGAAATCCAGCTGAAACAGAGTGATTATAGCTTCCAATCCCCCAAACATGAGTCGAGACTTCATGAAGGGGTAAAACGATCTGATTTAATGGGGGCTACCTGCCCGGTATTTATTCAGGTCCCCCATCTGGTGGGCACTCCCCTAGGGGACCAGATGGAAGACTGAGGCACAAGAATTACAGTAGCCAATCGCAGTGGCTATAACATAAGCACTCCCCTTTTACATAGGTAACTCCCTCCTTTCTATCCTGGAGATAATTAACTTAAGGTAGTAAAAGGAACCTTAATTATCTCCAGGTAGAGAGAAACATGGCTTTTACTATATTCACAAAACGACATAAAAATCTATAACTTACATTTTACTACACATAAACGTTAAGTCCCACATACCTCCAGATAGCTTGGATCTGAGTGCATATTATAGGCGAATGGCACTCAGATCCCACAAACACAGTTCTTAATAACGTCGAATTAAGTTTGGGCTTCACCGGCCGTTCGCGTGTTTGTATCCGACAAAGAGTTCCACAATTGCAGCTATCTGGGGTCGGTCCATTTCGCATAAATCTAAGTCCCGAACGGTGAAATGTCTCTGGCATTCGTGTGTTTCCCGCCATATGAACGAGGACCTTGGTAGGCGTCAGCGGTGTTCGGCAGAATAAGTATCCGAAAAAGAGTTCCAGGGCACCGCCGCCATTTACCGCAGGGCGTTCGACAATTTAAAATGGCGACTGCCACGTGTTCGGTAGACGAACTCGGACCACCAAGATGTTCCCCAATTACTCTGTGGTTAACCGCAAAGTCTGGGTGGTTAATGGGCGCCACTCGACCTCAGTAGGAGGTCGGGTGATTCGGCAGTTTATTTGTTTTATTGAGATTTGCACAAAATCACCCCACACACGTCTAAATAACCGAACACGCTGGTTCGCATAGTCTGGTTAATAAGGGATTTCGTTACAAATAGCAATTCCTACAATTTGTGGGGTCGTTCTAATTAGTTCGGCCAGGGGTTCTATCACTATAACAAATAAAATTGGAACTAAAGGGCACCCCTTTCTCGTCCCATTGGTTAGAGAGAAAGTTTTGGCTCTGAAGCCAGAAGCTGAGACATGGGCGGAGGGTACGCAATATAGCGCCTTAATTGCTGTGATAAAGGATGATGGTATGTTGAACCTGTCTAACGTTCTCCATAAATATCCCCAATGTAGCCTGTCTAGAGATAGCAGCAAAGAAGGCGTTTTGGTCATAATGATATGCTGAATCAAGTTTATGAATCTTCTAGTTCCGTCTGGCGCCTTTCTATCCTGTACAAAACCCACTTGATCCTTATTAATTAGCAATGGGATTAATTTGGTTAATTTATTTGCGAGAACTTTAGAATAAATCTTTGAATCATTATTAATCAGAGAAATGGGCATCTATCAGGAGTTTTTCCCGGCTTTGGCAAGGTGACTATTCGTGCGCACAAGGACTCCTCCGGCATCTTTCCCCCGGTCTTATAGGAATTGAACATTTTAGTCATATGGGGAAATTAAAATTTCTGGAAAAGTTTTATAATATAAAATAGTGAATCCATCGGGACCAGGGGCTTTTCCAGATGGCATAAGTTTGATCACCTCAGCTATCTCTTCTGCTGATATTTCACATTCTAAGCTTTCTAAATGTCCTGGAGACAGCCGAGGCAATGTCACTCTGTCTAAGAATTTATCAATTGTCGCAGAAGGCTGGGGAAGGACATTTAATTAATTTTACAGTGTGAGCTGAGGAAGGGTGGGCATGGGCTCATAGCCCATGCCCACCCTTTCTCAGCTCACACTGTAAAATGTATTACATTTTTTAGTCCTCTTTTAGGCATGCCCTTATTGTTACTTACTGATTCTTAAACATGCCATCGGTACCCCTTCTATTTAAGTTGACACATAGGTTTATGAATTTCCTAGTTATATGCCAGAGGATATATTGGCATTTGGCAAATTCTCTACCATTGATAGCCCTTGATAATTGAGGTGAGAGATTTTGTTGAGAGAATTAATATTAATCTAATTTATACGTATCCTTTATACGTAAGAATTGCAGTTAACATTACAAATAGCCGTTGTGCATTTTCACATTTTGTATTTAAAGTGCCCCCGATCTGCTATTTTAATATAATAGATGTGTATTTTCTGTTGCAGTATATGCAGAATGAAACCGGCATACTATGCTGTGCTTTGTTGTCCCACAAAGGTAGCATTGATCAATGCAATAATCCTTCTAATGCCAATTATCACAGCACTAATAAAGCAGCGTGAATATGAATAAATTCATGTATGTACGTAGTGGGGAATTACGATACCACATAACATAGATAACCCCAATAAAAAAAAAAAAACAATAACGACAGACAACTTAGTATGGATGAACAGGCCACAGCATTTATTATAACAAATAAATTACTGCATAACACATCCATAACTTTATTTATTAAACTCTTCTTTCTGTTAGAAATAAATAATCATAAATTAACATATATACATATAATTACAAAACGTGCTATGCAGAGACCCAACCGTCCTTGCCAATAAACATCCAGTGGTTCCTAATCACCACTTCCTCTCACCTCCCCCCTCGTCATAAAAAAATCCTTCCAATGCCCGCCATCAGCCAACCTTATCCACGCTCGATGGGTACGATACCTCAGGCAACCTAATGTTTAACCTTTGAAGCAGGGGAGGTTGAGACCTGCAAAACATAAAAACTTAGTCCATCCTTAGACATAACCCCTCAAACTTGATTGGCAAGGACATACTCCCGCCACCAGACCCGCTGCTTTACCCCTAAATCAGCGGGGAACCCCACCAAAACCTCCCATGGCCTGTTCCACCGCTTCTTGAAGGGCGAGATTGAAAAGGTCGAGCCCGACCTCCGTTAGGTGCACCCGTCCCCCCCAAAAAAATTAGCTGCCTCCCGCTCAAAAACCCTGTGGCGGACCGGGATCCCCCGAACCACCAAAACAAACTGGGAAACCCGCCTGTTTAGCTTGCGTCTGCAACGCTCCATCGCACTCTGGCTCCTGGCGCCACGCCAGTAGTTACGGGCAATGACCTCAGACCACACCAAGCACACCCCAGGGAACAAATTCAGAATGCAGGCTAGGTCCCGCCTCACCGCCGAAATAAAGTCCCAAATGGGCACCACGCCCAGATCATTCCCCCCTAGGTGGATCACCAGGACACTCGGCACCCCCAGGAGATGGGACAACTGCGCTAACTCGGGTAGGAGCCGGGACCACCTCATACCCCTTGCCCCGAGCCATCGTACCTCTGCTTCGGAAGGCGTGAAACCCAACCTTTCACCTCCAGGCCGCACCGCCACACGCTGCCCAGCCCAGTAAACATAGGAGTGCCCGATGATCCAGATCCTGGGGGGAAACAAAAATGCGGAGAGAAATCATGTCAATAAACCGGCCGGACGAACATAGGAAACATAACGTCTCGAGTCCCACCTACCAATCCTTTGAACTACCTGCGCCGGCATGCCAAGCCTAGCGGTCTCGGTAGCCGCCCCAATACGGAACGAATGGCCCCCAAACTCCATGCTATCCAATCCCACAGCCTCCAGCCCCAAACAAAAAACTCTAATAAACTGGAAATGGGAAAGGAAACTACCATCCCCGTGTACCAGGAGTGGCAACGCGGGGGAAGGGTGCAGAGCACAATATTCCCCAAAGGACCAAACAGGACAGATGCCGGAACCCGGCACGGATCCCAACCGGACCCACTTACCCCTCCCCAAGACATCCGTCATAGAGCGGCGAATCCTGAACGAGATCCGGTCAGCGGTACATGAAACATCCCCGAACAGCACCCCCCCACTTGCTGCCGGCTGGGGCATACCAGCTCCCCAATCCGCATAGCCCCAAAAAATGCCAAGGAAAAGGCTAGGCGAAAGAGCCGAGCATCAAAATCCGAATGGCACACCCTGTGCAACGCCTCACACAAAGTAGTTAGGAGCGTGCCGGAGACAGGACGCCTCGAGTCTCGCGTAGACACCCACCCCCGCCTCAAACCTTTCAGCGCCTGCCGTATGAGGAACGCTTTGGTATCGTCGTCCCAACCCCGCACCTTAAACGGGAAGCTGAGTCCCGCTAAGCGCGCCGAAACAGCCGAAGGAGTCCCTGAAACCCCCCTTGGACCTCTCCCACCCGTCCCATTCCCTCCAGACCTTGTTATAGCGGTCCCACGTGGCCGCAGCCACCGACCAGCTCCATTAGTCGGTCAGACCCAAGGACCACATCTCCATCGGACATGGGACACCCACCAATTCGGCCTGCGGAGCCACTGCCCGAAACACGTTCCACTGTGAACGAGAGAGCATCGGCCATCACATTACGAACACCCGGGATATGCACCGCCCTACAATATACATTCAGCTCCAGACAGTGCAGAACTAGGCGCCGCAGCAAGCGAACCACGGGGGGAGAGGAAGCAGACAGCTGGTTGATCGCCTGCACCACTCCTAAGTTATCACAATGGAAGACCACCTGTCTGTCCACCAGCATGGAACCCCACACTTCCAGAGCCACCACAGTAGGAAAGAGCTCCAGATACGCCAAGTTTCGAATGAGCCCCGTTCCCTGCCAGGCCTCCGGCCAAGAGTCAGCGCACCATTTTGCGCCCAGAACGGCCCCAAAACCAACCGAGCCCGCCGCATCGGTGAACAAATGGAGGTCTGCGTTAGAGACCTCCGGGGCCTGCCAGTAGGACCTGCCATTATAGGAAGCCAAAAAGGAATCCCAAACGGCTAAGTCAGCCTGCAAGGGCCGGGTAAAATGCCGCGGGTGAATGACCCCTGACGCTGCTGCCGCCAGGCGCCGATTAAAGATGCGCCCCATAGGCAGGATTCGACAGGCAAAATTGAACTTCCCCAGCAGAGACTGCAGGCAGCGCAGCTGTATCTTACGCCGCTCCAAGGCCCGGGACACCGCCAGGCGCAGGTCCACCATCTTATCCTGTGGCAGCTGACATTCCCCCGCCATCTAATCAATCTCGATGCCCAGAAAGCTCAGACACGTGACCGGACCCACCGTCTTGTGAGCCAACGGGACTCCGAAGCGCTGAAACACTTCCCCGAGAACCCACAGCAGGAGGGCACAGACGTGTGATCCCGCTGGACCCACACACAGGAAATCATCGAGGTAGTGCAGGAGGGAGGCGACCCCAGCTTCCCTCCGCACCACCCATTCCAGAAAAGTGCTAAAGCACTCAAAATAGAAACAGGACAGCGAGCAACCCATAGGGAGGCACATGTCCACAAAAAACTGACCCTCAAAGGCGCACCCCAAAAGATGATGGCACTCCGGATGCACCGGGAGCAGTCGGAAAGCGGATTCCACATCCGCCTTAGCCAGCAACGCCCCCGGGCCCGCCGCCCTAACAATGCGAACCGCCGCATCGAAGGAAGCATAGGAGACCCTACAAAGCTCAGCGGAAATGTTGTCATTCACCGAACCACCTCGAGGGTACGACAAATGGTGAATCAAACGATACTTCCCGCGATCCTTCTTAGGCTCCACACCCAAAAGAGAAACCCGCAGATTAGCCATCGGTGGGGAGGAGAAAGGGCTGGCCATCCGCCCCAATGAGACCTCCTTATCCAATTTTTCCCGTACCACCTGAGGGAAAGCCTGCACCGATTTGAGGTTGCGTACTGAGAGCAGCGGAGGGCGCTCAGAGAACAGGATCCAAAACCCTTGCTCAAACCCCTCCACCAGGATCCGCGCCGCGGCCCGATTCCTATAAATGTCGAGCCACGGGCGCATCACGTTTACGAGGACCGGAGTCGTCGCCCTTAGCCCCCATGTCCCCTTTCTCACCCGTTTTTGCCCGCTTGAAACAGCGAGAGGCGGAATGGGCTCCGCCGCAGCCGGAGCACTCGTGCTTAAACCGGCAGGAAGACCCCCATTTACAGTGACTGTCAAACCTCCAACAACAGCCAGACCTTGGACCTGAGGCCGATGAGGAGAAAGGCGCGCCCCCACCGGCTTCCCCAAGAAAGGACGAAAAGGCGCCTTGTTGAGGGGCTGGACGAGTCATGATAGAAAGCCAGAGGCAGACACATGGTAAATACCAATCGCAGTGACAGCCTGTCACTTCGATCGGAAGCTGCAGACCGCGGTCTCCGGGCACAGAGGGGCTGCCTGGGGGGCCAGGCATGCCCCCTGACCGTGATCTGCAGCGGCCATGTGGGGGGTAAGACCGCCCAGGGCGTTATATGCCGCCCTGCGGCGTTTAGAGCTGGCCAATTAAGGACGGCATAGAACTCCCTGCAGTCTTAAGGGGTTAAAGGGACACTCCAGCCACCCAGAGCAGTCAACCTTTGGAGTGGTCTGGGTGCCAACTCCTACCACCCTTAACCCTGCAACTGTAAATATTGCAGTTTTCATAAACTGCAATAATTACATTGCAGGGTTAACTCCTCCTCTAGTGGCTGTCTACTGGACAGCCACTAGAGGGCACTTCCTGGTTTCTAGCACAGGTTTTCCGTGCTAGAGCGTCTCTGGACGTCCTCACGGTGTGTGAGGACCTCCAGCGTCGCTTAATTCCCCATAGGAAAGCATTTCAATGCTTTCCTATGGAGAGGTCTAATGTGTGCGCGCGGGGCACGGCATTGCCGCGCATGTGCATTAGGCGGGGGAGGAGCGTGGGCAGACCCGAAACCACTGCCGAGGGACATTGGCAGGGGTCTCAGGTAAGTCACTGAAGGGGTTTTCACCCCTTCAGCAACATGGGATGGGTGGTGGGAGGGGGAGGGTACCTGCAGTGCCAGGTAAACGGTTTGTTTTCTGGGCACTGGAGTGTCCCTTTAAGAGCATGCCTTCCTCCCTTACTCATTGAGATGTACTACACCTCATTGAGAAGAGTTGGAAAACTGTGTGTGCACTTGCTGCTTTAGCAAAGAAAGAATGTGCTGGGAAAAGAAAAGAGGGATTGCAAACGCTACACGTAGCAGGTCTGCAGATTTTGCAAGCTCTTTTATATATTATACATGTGTATGTTTATTTCAGGGGTATATCTTTTAAATCAGGGCTTCCCAAACTATTATGGGCCGAGACTCACTTTTGAAAACGGTCATTTTTCACGCCCACAAGCTTCTTATGTATATTTTAAAAGGGTTGACTAAAAAAAACATGGATGATTTTACTACTTGACCGGTGTATAGTCGCCATATGGGCAGTCGGAACCTAGGACAAAAACCCCCACATACCTAACCCAATAATACACTGACACTAGGGTTTATGGGTAAAATTGTCCACAGCTTTTATTAAACATTATAATAATAAATATAATAAGTTTGTCATTAGTAATAACAATCATAACAATATAATAATAATTTAACATCTAAATATGGGTCATTGCCCCCATACTCCGCCCTCGCATCCGCATCCTTCTTTTAATATAACGGGCAATGACCCCCAACATACTAACACACATATATATATATATATATATATATATATATATACACACACACACACACACACACACACACACACACACACACACACACACACACATATATATATATATATACAATATCATTAATAATATATATATATATATATATATATGTATAATACACACAATACTGTATCAATACATATATATATATATATATATATATATATATATACATACATATATATATATACACAATAATACACACATACATATAGTAAATATATATATACACATACATATATATATAAGTACATATATATACAAGTATATATACACACACACACACACATACATATAAATATATATATACATATATATACAAGTATATACATACATATATACACACACACATAGAGGTATATATATATATATATATATATATACACATACATATATATATACATATATACATACATATATATACACACACACACATATACATATATATATATATATATACACATACATATATATATACATATATACATACATATATATACACACACACACACATATACATATATATATATATATATATATATATACACATACATATATATATACATATATATACATATATATACACACACACACACACACACACACATATATATATATATATATATATATATATACACATACATATATACATACATATACACATACATATACACATACATATATATATATATATATATATATATATATATATATACACATATATACACACACACACACACACACACACACATACATATCTCTAACAATTTGCAACCTTACTCCAACATAACAATTTAAGTGCCAACCATAAATAACCACGGCAGGGGTATACCTGGATACCCCTACCCCACCAGGTTCTGAGCCACCTCCAGGACTCGAAACCTACCAACTACCAGTGACCACATTTTCCATGTCCGTGACATTCCTCATGGGAGCCTATTTCCTCTTCCTCGGCTCCCTATCCCGCCACGGGCTCACACCTTGACCCCTTAAGCTGTCTGAGCTCCCCCCACCCCGGAGAAAGAGTG